AAAAGAATAATCGATGCCTTTTGGTATAAAAAAGTTTTGAGTCGGACCATTTTTTGCCAGTGGGTCGGGAGAGGGCTAACAAACAATTTTTTGAAGATGGCATCGGTTACTAGGATATGTCAATACTGACTACATTTCTTCGTGGTTGCAGTCGTAGAAGACGGCCAGGTGACAAATATAGGTGAGACAAAGAGAATGGTCCATTTTTAAGTTTTAAGAAAAATCTACTAAGATGTTGTATGAACTTCAGTCAGTTATGTAAGAAATAGTCCAAAAAAGACAGGAATATCTTTAGAACAAAATTTAATGGAGATTTGAGAATGAATTTTAAAGTAAATGAGTGTCTGAAAATATGAAGTGATGTAAAAAAAAAATGAAGTCAAATGTTAAGTGCCCTAAACCTTTTAATTTTTGCAATTCTATTCGAGTTCTCTAAATAGTAAATAAATATATATCATCAACATGTTCAGAATGTTAAAACCAATGACCAGAAATGACAAGAACTAATAAAGGATCACCTTCAACCTTAAAACATTTTTTACCATAGCCCGTATTATATATTCAACTGGTATCAATAATGAATAATATAGGAAAGGACTGGTTATTAGATCGTTAAGAACGAAAAAAGTTCAAAACACCAGTCCTTGCAATAAGCAGCAACATTAGGTAAAACCATGGATGAAAGAGCTATACACAGTAGGAGTGCACAGAAAACTTTAAAAAGGAGCATTTAGGAATTTACAAACAAATATTAATCCTCAGAATATTTTTGTAATAAACTATTGAAAATGTCGTTTCAAATGTAAACTTAATTGATTTTTTTTTTTGGGGGGGGGGGGGTTATGTTCAGGTTAATCCATACTTCCACTTGAGACGTAACAAACTGATAATTATAACTAAAGGTGTGTGCCGTTATTTCATGTGTGTTGCATTAAATGAAGAAGGAAAAGAGAAAGGTTGACCTGTGCATAAGAAGAATGCAACACATCTAGACTGCTCTTCCTACTCGTAAGAGAATAGATTTTGAGAACAAAAGAATTGTGGAAAAAATTATTGATGTTTGCCAGGAGACTTTCACTTTGCAAATGACAGAGGCATATTTAAATCTTCATGATAGTATTTACAACTAAAAACAAATAGAAAGGAAGAGAAGTGAACTAATATTTCTTTCTAAAATGCAATATACTTTTAAGAAGCAGCGAAGGTCAAAAAGAACTAACAAAAACAGAAAAACATTCCCAGGCACGGTGAAAGAAACAAAAAGTGTTGTCAAAAAAAAACAACCAAAAACAACAACAACCAACAACAACAACAAAACTCGATTTCAGTACAATGGGGTTGTAACTTTCATAAACAAGGATGCAAAAACAATTGACAGAATTAATCACTGTTGACCAGATTTGACCAATCTCGGTGAGATTCGTTGACACTAAAATATTTTACTGATGCCTACAGAATCTCAGCCCAATGCCACACAAAGTGATTCAGAAAATATTTCCCTAACTTTAACCGTTTGTTACGGGATGAAATGGATGGAATTGACCCCCCTACTTGCTTCATCTTTTCGATTTGGACATCTTTTTAACTCCTTATCACTGTAAAAAAAAGTTCGTTATATATCCCAGTGAACTTGAAATTAAGAACACCACAGAGTTCGCCTAATCTGTTTCATATTTGGATATTTTAGTGACTATAGACGATTGATTGATTGATTGTATGTTGTTTTACGTCCCATTCAAGAATTTTTCACTCATATAGAGACGTCACCATATACCGGCGAAGGGCTTCAAATTTTTCCTTTACTCGCCACTCAGGGCCATTGAGCAGTGCGGGATCTTTATCGTGCCAACGCCTGCTGTGACACGGGGCGTTGGTTTTTAAGGTCTCATCCAAAGGATCCACAACTTTCACTTCAAAGTGCCGAGCGCATGGCGAAGGAACAGTTGCTACCCATTTTTTATCGACTTACGTCAGTCGCTGCCGAGATTCGAACTCACGACCTCCAGATCACGGAGCGAGCGCTCTACCGACTGAGCTACCGTGAACGGTGACAATAGACGATAAGGGCCAACTACATTGTAACAACAAAATGTATGTCAAACAAGATGACTTCAGCTATTCACCATCAACTTTCCTTATATAAGTAGTAACATTCCGCTATCACTTGCATATGGTGTTTACGACTCCCAACTTATTCGATACTCAAGAGCATGCTCTGAGTACGATCAATTTTTAAATAGGAGGCAGGCTACTGACAGCTAAGTTGATTTTACACGGATTTCAAAATCTCGTTTAATGTCAGCATTCCGTAAATGTTATGGTCATTATAATGACCTTGTCAACAAATATAACTTATCATTGGGTCGTATTTTTGCAAACGTGTTTCATACCAATTGTAAGGCCTTTGTTTTATACTAAATTTGACTACGGAATGTTCCGTCTACCTGATCAATACATAGGACTCACGGCGGGTGTGACCCGCCAACAGGGGATGCTTACTACTTCTAGGCACCAGATCCCACCTCTGGAATTTCCGGGGGTACATGCTTTATGCCCTGTTCCCATATTTGTATTGTTTTTAGATTTTTTTAGAGATCGATCATTGTTCGTCTTCTTCACCTTTTTCCTTTCTTGCCTTTATATGGTTTAAATCAAGTTGTTGATTCGTTTAAGCCGGGGATGGGGTAATGGTAATTTGTAATAGTAATTGACTGTAATGAATTACAAGTTATGATGTAATTGAAAGTAATGTGTAATTGACCAAAGAATGAATCGTTTAAACGTCCAAATCTGGCCCCCCGATAATTTACAAAAAATTAAATCAAAGATTTTCTACATACATATATATACCCTTTATATATATGTATGTATACATGTATATATATACCCTTTATATGTATATATATATATATATATATATATATATATATATATATATATATATATATATATATATATATATATATATATATATATATATATATATATATATATATATATATATATAAAACATTTGCCTTTGTTCCTAAATATACATCACCGCTACGTTCATTGACTCTTGAAAGATAGATAGAAAAGTTTTTTTTTCTAATTAAAGCTGTCATTAATTATATAGACCGTTATTTGAAAAACACTAATTCATCATATCTTTAGAAAAATAAAATGTTTGTTATAAACTTATAAGTGCACAAATGCATACTTCCAATTGAGAAATCTTAGGGAAAGAAATTGAAATACGGAGCGCTAAAAAGACCTGTATACATATCGGATAAAAAGTCACTGGATGAATACATTTGCACAAAATGCACCCCTAATTTGAATAAAGGGAAGCTTCAGGTTTCTTCTAGCGACCCTGCAAATGCTAAAATGCTTATATTTTGTCTCTAGCACGAAATAAGAGGGATTTTAAGTGTCATTTATTCATAAAACTTTGTACACCTCGAACACACACTAATGTATTCACACTAATCGCACGCTTGATAGACGCCCCGCCCTCTCATTCAAATAATTCAATGACCTACATAGCTGTAATGGCTAAGCCGGGATTTTACAGTGAAGTGTAATCGATTTTATTTAATCAATATCATGTATATATTGAAAGTTTCTTTCCCAAAAAATCTTTTATGAGTACCTATACAGACTATGCTTCAAGACTTTAGCAATACTAGTAATATGACAATGTTATGATTTGAAAAGATAAAATTCTACATTTAAAAAGGGGCGAGAAAGCAGTGTTATGAAGATTCATTCTTTTCAATTACATGTTACTGTAATTTAATTAATTATTTTTTAGAAAAGGCATGTAATTCACAATTACTTTCCAATTACATTCAATTACTTTAAAATTTAATGAATGAAAAATAGCTCGATCCCCCTCCCCACATATACAATTATCAAGAAAGCTTGACTGACCTTTAGGGCAAAATATTTTGATGGTTATTTTTTTTAAAGGGAATTTACTTATTTACCCTTTTTAGTGAATAGTTGTTTTCTCTTATGCATTCCTTTAAAGCTTTTGAATCAAAATAATCATACATCAGAAAGCTTAAAATTTGACATCAAATTTAAGATGACCCATTTGTAACATCAAATTACAGACCAGTTTCACTATTGGGGTGCATTAGTAAAATCTGGAAGGAATAATTTTCAAACGTGTATAATCACTTCCTTAAATTGCAAATAATTTGTTGTACAAGTATCAGGCGGGATTTTTACCTGGCCGCTCAACTGTCTATCAACTACTGTAAACATATCATTGTATAGTTAAAAATATTGATGAGGGAAAATCTTGTGTGTGGGGCTTTTTTTTTTTTACGATCTGTCGAAGGCTTTCGAAAGAGTATGGCATAATGGCCTTCGTTTTAAAATGCAGACTTGCGGAATATCTGGAAATCATTTTGAATGGTTTAACTTATCTAAATAATCGAAGTCAGAAAGTTTTGTATAAAGATATTCTATCTTCTAGCATGACTATTAATGTCGGGGTATCATGTGGCTCTGTCCTTGGTCCCCTACTTTTATTTTGATATTATGTATAAAGGAACATTCATGACTATTGAAATATTTTCTAAAAAATGTAATTCGTAATTTAATTAAGTACATTTGTAAAGTAATTGTGATTTAATTAATTACATTTTAAAATCCTTGTAATGGTAATGGTAATTTAATTGAAGGTTTTGGGCAAGTAATTGTAATTTGATTCATTACTCTCCTATGTAATTGACCCCATCCCTGATTTAAACCTCCGACGCCAAAGAGTGCCAGTCAAGGCCATAAATATTCTGTTTGAAAATGCTTCTTATTATGATTAAGTATGTCTTGACGAACCACAGTACGAAGTATTTTAAAGCAAACTCTTGATTTCTGGGATTTTCTTTTTTGTTTCTATCTACAGAAGCATTACAATGTTTGATAATATTCTCAAGGGGCTAGAACATTTCTTTCCATTTCTGATTCTAACAGCTTTTTAAGAGCCCATTTATTTCCACATTACATTTTTTTTATCAGTTCAAATTAAACAGGCTTTGTTAGATCTTGAAAGAAATTATATTGAATCATCAAATCCATCGGAACTTCATTTTCGGAGCTCTTGGTTCATTTTCCATTTCCCTTACTTTACGTTTAAGACTTGCAATTTTTAGTATAGACATTTTAGTAGACGCACGTTTTAGAACAGGTTTTACGTGGTATCTTTCTGAGTATCTCTTAGTCTTCGTCCTCATTTCTGGAGCTGAGTGAAAAGAATATCTGGACAATGATCTGGGTTTGCTCGTCTTTCTTGAAATTCGTTTAGAAGGAGACAGTACCCTTCTCAACTCTATTGCCAGTATTTCGGAAGTCGGAGTCATCCTTGAACTCAGTCTTGAGGTCAAGGCTGACGATAGACTCGATCTTGCTATAATCTGCTCTTCTGTCAAAGAAAAATCCAAATCTTCAATAACCATTCCTTTGATTTCCCCTGTGTCATCCATTCCACAATTGTCTTTCTTTGTCTGTGGACTATTGCGATTATTTGGTACAAAACTTGTCGTATGAATTGGGCTAGATGTAACGCCTTTTAAGTTTAAATGAGAAATTCCTTCGTGAGCCTCTAATATCACAGGTAAGCTGCTTGATAGAATTGCATGGTCATCAGATTCGTCTATGGGTTCATTTAAGTACATTTCTGCTTCAACATTTTGTTTTGCAAAAACACTCTTTTGGAAATATATTTGTTCGCTGGTTGTCATTTCATTATCAAAAGGGATGTTTTCTTTGAGGAATACGTGCTTTTCAGAATTGACTTCTTTGTTAATTCTCCGCAATTGTTCCATATCCTCCTCTGTGTTTTGACGAAGAAAGATTGACTTCTCTTTTTCCCTTTCCTTGATCCTTACAGCAGAGTCCTCATCTTCTATTTCACTCAAAAAATTAGTATGGTCAACAACCATGCCCGATTGCTTATGTTTTTGAACGTCAACTGGCGCTTTCCCTACTTCAACGTCTTTAACTGTGTTGTCAAGAAGTTCAACTGGAGTCATAATGGGATCTCTGCTGTTTTCATGACAAGCACCTTCCCCTTTTGCAGAAGTAAGATCTTCTCTGCTTACTTCTTGTGTGCTCTTTTTCAAATCATCACATAACATTGATATGTTTTGATTGTCATTATTGTTGGCTTCAGCGTCATCATCTTTTCCATTTGACTGTGTTTTCTTCTTTTCAGACAGGGCTGGTTTTTGATCATCTATAACAAATATTGTATTGCCTTATTTCAGAAGTGGATATTTACATAAACATTAAATTCTGACTTGTTTGCATCTCTGTTCTTTTCGTTAAAACATGCTCAAAACTTTAAATCTAGCAGGCTGAAATGTTATTGGATTGACAATTCTAAATATTTTTTTTGTATCATCACCTTTTTGTTGGATCTTGTGTTTGCATTTGGAACAAAATAATTTTCGTATTTTCTCTCTGTATTTCTTTCGCAGACAAAGAATTATGATTGCAGTGATTATTCCAATAAAAATAATGCTTGCTATTACGCTTCCAATGATTACACCGATGTCAACATCTTCCTCATTTGGACTTGTCGTGAATGCTGCACAAATAAATAACTATACATAAGCAAAAAAACTATAAAAAAAAAAAGGGGGGTGTGGGTGTGGATTTTATATAGATTTTCAAAGATGCTCATTCAAAATATCGAATAATGAAATAATACTATTATACTTACGACATAGCACTACAAAGAAATTAGAAATGCAAATCAGATATCAATGATACTACAAAGTACTTCACAATCCATGATTTAAAAAAAGGTGGGGTATCACCCAAAGAATTGCTAACAAACGTACCATTAGCGTACATAACAAGAGTCTCGGTCCCGTTTACTTGTTTAACATTTGGATCTTGGCCTTTGGCGCAACTCCCATTATTATCGCTGATGTATACCTGGTTATTCAATTTCATTACCGCCTAGAATATATATATTAATAAAGTTTTAGTTTTAAATTAATCAAGTGAAATTCTTTTCATATATATATCCGAAGCGGATTATAAAACAGCGCAAACTGACCCAAACCAGGTTATACTCGAATAATTTGGCCAAGAATTAGAGTCATTCCTTATAATTTAATTTTAAAATCAGTAAATAACTATGGGTGTAAAATTTCGTTGCTTTTTATTAGTTCAAATTTGCCGCTCAATAATACAACCGTAGTAACGGAAGTACCGGAAGTGATGGGAAGCGAGGGGAGGTAAAAACTAATACATAGGCCTAGCAGCCTTGTTGTTTGTTTACATGTGGTAAGATCGAATTATTGTTTGGAACATTTATTAAATCTGGAATTTTCCATGAATCCCGAGGACTGGAAATGAGAGGATTGATTCAGCTGGTTGTCAGGGGGGTGTGTCCCCATACCAAACCAGGTTATACAGAAATAATTTGTGTTCCTTTTTGGATATTAACCAATCAGAGGCTAGAATACAAACAAAATTAAATTAAATTATATATATATATATATATATATATATATATATATATATATATATATATATATATATATATATATATATATATATATATATATATATATATACAAATGTATATATATATATATATATATATATATATATATATATATATATATATATATATATATATATATATATATATATATATATATATATATATTAAATAAATAATATCAGGATATCCCGGAACATGAACGAAGCACTTCTATAGAGACTGGTTATTCTACTGAACATCAGCGAAGTGACTATTATTGACAATTTTCCCATTCTTTGTGGGAATTAGGATCAACCATTAAATCGGCCAGAGAAAGAAATGCAGCAAAGCTTATTCAAGTCATGATGATTACTCTGTAACAAACTATACATCTGATAGGCAAGCTCACTAGTTTTATGACAAGATTGGATTGGTCCTGCCTTTTTTGGAATGGTTGAGAAGAGACCAGTAGTAAAAAGAAGAATCAGTATTTATCAACAACACTAAAGGCAGAAAACATTAACAAGGTCATCCACATACAGATGGATACAGTCCACAATTCAAGATCCTTTGTTTGATTTTTTTTTTTTTTTTTTTTGCAAACAACGTGTCAAAGCCTGATGTACTACAAAGAATTGAGCACATAGGATTTGCTTCACCATTGTCAATGCACAATTGGAAAGCTGTTTACTCTGGTCAAGAAGAAGTCCAGAATACGACTGCCTTATCCTGGTACCTTTCTGCACATTTTGTGAACCTTGACATGGGACTTGAAATAGATGTTCACGATCAAAAGGACATGTCAGCTTAGGACAATCTTGCAATGAAAAGTACAATAAAAAGGAGGAAAAGGAAAAGAAAGGCGTGAGAGATCAAATACATGTACAATAATGAATGCACCAAACAATTTTAAAGAGTTTTTCTTTTATATTCCTATGTAATGTTTTGATCGTTCATTGTGGTCCGTCCTACCCCCGGGGTCATGATTTGAACAAATTTTTATTTATTCTATGTAATAAATTTTTCAAATAAGTTTCAACTCTTTGGGCCCTTTGGTTCTTGAGAAGAAGACTGTCCTTCCTATGTAAAAATTAGATCGTCTGTTGTGGCCCAAACCTATCCAAAGGGGTCATGATTTGAACAAACTTACATCTACATTATGTAGTTTCAACTTTTCTGGGCAAGTTGTTCTTGAGAAGATTTTTTTAAAGATGTCATAAAAATTTCACTAATTCTTATTATCTCCCCTTGAAAGAGGGTGTGGCCCTTCATTTGAAGAAACATGAATCCCTTTGACCCAAGGATATTTTATGGCAAGTGTGGCTGAAATTGGCACTGTGGTTCTTGATAAGATGTCGAAAATGTGAAAGGTTTACAGATGGACAAACAGACGGACACCAGAAAATGTTATCAGAAAAGCTCACTTGAGCAGTCAGCTCAGGTGAGCTAAAAATGAATACATATATGATGTACTTACATAACATTTAAAATGTTGTTGGTTACTTCCAGTGACACCAGGGTCAAGCATCGATACAAAATACGTTGAGTCATCTTGTACGTATGTGACACAAAAGTATAATAAGCCTACTATATTAAAAAACATAATTTTAAAAAAATTCATACAATACGTTATCGCTGAATAACGTAAACAAGTTCTTATATGTTAAAATACAATGACGGTTTTTATAAAATTTTATTTTTATAAGAACTGAATAACAAAAAACACAACTGAATTATTTTTTACTCTGTTTATAGCTATGTATACTTACAAACTTGTCCGCTACTTGTTGAACATTCTGTGCGGTTCATAATATACCTATCTGAACACATGTCTAATATGAAGTCAGAGTCGCATGTCGAATTAGTTCTTGCAAAGTTAGAATTATAAAGAGTCGCCAACAAAGGCTCTGGAAAGTACTGTTTAACGTCGGAAGTATTATCTACAACAATGAAAAAAGTTTTTTTTTCTGAATTCAATTAGTCATGGCAAGGAAAACAGTTAAATTCTAGTTCAAAAATGCTGTTGTTACTTTTATTTCCATCTTTGGTGAACAGCATATCGCCTGAGATTTATTTGTTTCAAATGTAAAATGTGAAAATAACGAACAGTGATCAATCTCATAACTCCAGTAAAGAAAACAAATCGTGAACATGGCAAAAACACGGACACCTGGAAACACCAGAGGTGGGATCAGGTGCGCAGGACTAGTAAACATCCCCTGTCGATCGGTCACACTGCCGTGAGACTTATTTATAAATTAAGTAGATGGGGTAATCCGTAGTCAAATTTAGTTTAAAAATAATAACCTAACAATCTGTATGAAACGTTCAGACAAAATACGACCTATCGATAGGTTGTATTTGCAAACAAGGTCATAACGACCATAGAATTTCCAAAATGTTGACTTAAACAAGGTTGTTGAAATTTCTGTAACATTAGCTTTTTGTAATAGCCTGTCTTGGTTTAAAAATTGATTATACTCAAAACATGACCTTGCGTATCAAATCAATTGGGAGACATAAACATCAAATGCAGGTGATAATGGAATATTACTACACAAATAATATGCAGGTGATAATGGAATATTACTACACAAATAATATGCAGGTGATAATGGAATATTACTACACAAATAATGGAAGTTTACGATGAAAGCACTGAAGTCATCCTGTTTGTCTTACAGTTTAGTTGTTAGTTGGTCATTATCGTCTATAGTCAGTAAAACATCAAAATATGAAACAGATGTGATAAATTCTGTAGTTCTTTTATTTCGAGTTCACTGTGATATAGCACCTCAAGATATGAATAAAACTATTTTTCATTGATAAAATCGAGTTGAAGGCCACATCAAGAGGGTTTTTTTTTCTTCTCATTTAGAAGTTTTTGAATAAACTCCGCTTCTGAAACTAATAAATAACTAATAATAAGCTAATAAAAGAGCACAAATTTTAAATATGAATTTATCTCTATCATTATAAATTCCCAATCATATCTACCTGCTTTGACAAGAACGTGAAACTCTTCGGTGCCGGGCGGACTAACTGCTGTACAGTCACTCGATATTGTTGCATTTCTTGTGGTGGAAATCATAGAGACTCTTTCATTTTCAGCATTTGATTGTTCATCTAAAAGCATGAATTTTATATGGTAATAAGCACTTTTTTCTTTTGTTAAAAAAAAGTCTAATGCCTTTAGTCATAGTGAAATGTTTTAACTGCACTTTCATAATGTTCTGGAAGCGTTTTGTTTTGTTTCTGGAAGAAGTTAACCAGGGCTGTAATTGGCGACAAATTTGGTCGCCATGGCGCCTAAAATTTTTGATTGGCGCCTAAAAAATTTTCATAAGTCGCCAAATTGGCGACCATTTTAAATTGACTTAGCGATCGTCGAATTCCGGAAATTTTCACATTTTTAACAATTTTTCTGGACAAAACGAAAAGAAATTTAAAATAAGAGGACATTATTTTTAGCAATGGACATGTCGTGTTTTCTTAAACATGTCATGGGTCCCTATATTCTATTAACTTTTAAAGTTGGCGCCTTAGAAAAATGGCCTGGCGACTAAAATTTGCATTGGCGACTTAATTTTTTTGATAAGGCACCAGCTGGCGCCTAAATTTTAGAGGCCACTTAGAGGCCTGTCTAAGTTAACATAACATAAATTATAAAGTTTTTTTAAAGTATGAGGTAATTGGAAACTTGCCTGCTACGATTGTGTACCTGTACGACACGTCGGTAATTTTCTTGACTGTCAGACACAGGTATGCGGCATTTGGTGCTCCAAACACATCCACTTCTTGGTCGCCCCTAAATAAAAATTTTAAAAAACATATGTCATTTCATTTACTAAACATAACTTACAAACAAGGTATTAAATTAACTCACTTCATCAAATATTTATCAATGGACTGTTCCACGCATGTCCATGACGTCACGGTTGAGGTGTACGCAGTCAGAGTCCAGCCAGACTGAACAGCTGAGGTATTCCGATTCAATGTCACTTCTTTTTTACGACTGTCATACCAAAGTCCATCCCATTCCTGTGGAAAACTGCAGAGACCGACTGAAAGAAATGCTATATGCACAATATTAGTCTTCAACAAGAACAAACTACTACCATATGATTGCTAATCTATCATAACTTACCAACTTGGCTAAAAATTCCAATCTGTACTGTAATAATTATAACTACATTCATTTTTTTCATACATAAACTTGAAGGAATGGACTTTCATGTTGTCAAAAACCCAACTCAATTGTACATAGGTGTGATAAAATTGTTGAGATCATTGTTTCGAATCGCTGTTTTTGTGTCGTTCGAGTGCATCTGAAAGGCTTTTTTGTTGTCGATTTTTTTTTAAAATACTTCTACGCCTATAAGTGTTGAATATCATTAAGTATTCATCAAGTACTTCTTTCTAATAAACAAACAGTTGATATGATTCATTAACATAGAGATTAATTTTCTTTCTAAATTGCATTAAAGACTATCATTGCTTCAATCTATTAACTTTGAGGCATAAAATAAAGGTAAATTAAGGGTAATTCCCCTTGTTTATAAATCAAAATTACTAGAATTAGTATGTTATCCTCCTCTGACAGACCTTTGTTTCGAGTCCACTCAGATTTAAGTCATGGTGTAAAGTGGTGGGTTTATTTTAAAATATTGAAGTTTACTTTTTCCAGTATTTGCTTACAGTAACTTTTTCCTATATTTTTTATTCAGCATGTTCTGTATTATTTAAAATATGCATGTCTGATCTCGCATGTCTAAAATTTTAACCGATTTACCGTTGCCATCCCTAAAAATATGCACTAGTGACATTTGAAAAAAATTACTTGGAGCTAAATTGTGAAGAATATTTTTTTTATGAAGCCAGCGCATGTGGCTAAGATTGAGATGATATGCCCATATTGCAGTGTGGTAAGGTAAGATCACAATGTGATTGCTTATGTTAAATGAATTGTTAGGCTAAAATAATTTCAAATTTCCTCTTTTTTTCATATTGTTAACTTTTTCCTCATGACATTGAGATTTTTTAGAAGGAAAGAGTCTAAGATAACTCTACAAATGGGAAATGAAAAAGCTTACGCTCTGTGTGTGTGTGTGTGTTTTTTTTAAATTACTCTCATTCAAAATAGAACATTTAATGAAATTTGGAAAATTATTTCATAAAGAACATATCTAAAACCTTTACTACCTTTGTAATAGAATTACAGAAAAGAAAACATCAATGACAATACCGTATAAGCAAAATTTTTAGCGAGGATTTAATTTTGGCATTATTAACGAGGGTGTTGAGATCGCTAAAATTGAATATCGGTAAAAATTAATTGCATTTTATTTGTAATAGCTTCTTTAGTAGGCACTAAAAATTAATTACCATTATTTTAGGAATGACTCTAATTCTTGGCCAAATTATTCGAGTATAACCTGGTTTGGGTCAGTTTACGCTTTATAATCCGCGAAGCGGATTATAAAACAGCGTAAACTGACCCAAACCAGGTTATACTCGAATAATTTGGCCAAGAATTAGAGTCATTCCTTATAATTTAATTTTAAAATCATGAAATAACTATGGGTGTAAAATTTCGTTGCTTTTTATTAGTTCAAATTTGCCGCTCAATAATACAACCTTAGTAACGGAAGTAACGGAAGTGGTGGGAAGCAAGGGGAGGTAAAAACTGATACATAGGCCTCGCAGCCTTTTTACATGTGGTAAGAGCGAATTAGCGTTTGAAGTTAAAGGTACGTTTATTAAATCTGGAATTTTCCATGAAACTCGAGGACTGGAAATGAGAGGATTGTATGGATACAGATAATTCAGCTGGTTGTCGGGGGGGGGGGGGGTGTCCCCATACCAAACCAGGTTATACAGAAATAATTTGTGTTCCTTTTTGGATATTAACCAATCAGAGGCAAGAATACAAACAAAATTAAATTATTTAAAGATAAATCGCTAAATTTGGGCTTATACGGTATATCATTTGGCCAGGTGATCTTATAATTTATTCTGATTATATTCCAAAGAATTAATGTAAGATATAAGGCTTTTTGGAAACAACTTAGGTAAAATACACAAACATGTATATAATAAATACTTTTCCGCAACTTCGCTTAATACGATACCATTGAATAACATTTTATGAGATTTTTATAAAATCTTCATTACATAGTGTCATTGTGACCTCTTATTTTACTTTATATGGGGTTTCCCATAGCAAAATATGGACATTGCCATTCTTTCTATAATATGGGGGTAACTCCTCCTATTCCACTGAATAAAATTCAATGAGACTTTTTATATAATCTTTATTACATTTAGTGCCATTGTGCTTCTCCTATTTTAAGTTCTAATCGGACAAATATTGGGCTTCCCCATAGCAAAACATGGACTTTGCCATTATACTTATACAGGAGTGAGGGGTATCAATTTGTGAGCTCATTGCTCGGGAGCTCATTACAATGTCCAATCAAATTATACCAAAGCAATCCACTTTCAATCGTAAATTCTTTCCTTGATATTAACTGATCTTTTACGTACGTCCGATACACTTGTGGTTACCTATCTATTATATGCAACTCCTCCCACTGAATAAAATTTAATGAAACTTTAAAGAATCGTTATTACATAGTGCCATTGTGCACCTCTTATTTTACGTTCTGATCGGACAGATATTTTGGGATTTCCTCGACAAAACATGGACTTTGCCATTATACTTATAGAGGAACGAGGGTATCAGTTTTAGAGTTCAGTGCTCACAGAATATCTATAGTTTTTAATAATAAAATACAATGTCCAATCAAGTTATACATGATAGCAAACCCACTTTCAGTATTAAATTCTTTCCATGATATCCGGTATAATCTGATCCTTTTAAGATAGGTAAAATACGTGTACAAGGGTGGATCGACACAGCATTAGAATAAATTGTATTCAGTTGTCTCTTTTTTACGAGCCAGGAAGGATAACTCTTAAAATTATCATCTCAGAATGAAAATTGAAATATTTTCGTGCAACAATCCATTTCATGCATCTCAATGATTCAAGGTTCCTTGAAGTCTAAGAGATAGTCTTGCAAACTGTTGACATCTGTGCCCCTTAAAAGTCTAAAATAAATAAACATTTTTAGAAAATTCGAACTTCCTTTGATATAGCCTTTGATACCAGTTGAATTAAGCAGCATGTCTGAGATATGAAATTGGGGGGGGGGGGGGGGTCTATGAGAATTTGCAATGATAGCACAAGCTTTTAACACAAAGTATTATATAGTAGGAGAACTATAGTACCGGTTTGTACTAACAAAGGAAGAGAAAAGTAGCACGTGGACTTGAAACTATGCAACAGCAATAAAAATAGTAATAATAATAATTGGTTTAGTCTCTTTTGTGGCAAGATTATTGAAATCAAACAAAAACTGTAAAAGAAGTAGCGTTAAGAAAGAATTCCACAGAAATTTCTATTTATAACCATGGCAACACCATTCATCGAATTCAAAACTAATTTATAGAATTACATGTATGTATCTTAGAGTAGTCTACTTGTGTGCAAAGTTATATTGAAATTAGAGCAAAACTGTAGGAAGAGTAACGTTTTAGTAATTCATAAAAAATTCTATTTTTAGTAACCATGCAACACCGTTCATCAAAATCAAAAATCGATAAAGAGAATTACGCATCTTAGTGTAGTCTACATGTGTGCCCAGTTATACTGGTATCGGATCGGACCTATAGGAGGAGTAGCATTTTAAATGTATTTCACAGAAATTTCTATTTTTATTAACAATGGCAACAACGTTCATCGAAATCAAAAACCAATGGATAGAATTATGTATCTTAGATTGTTATACCCTAATAAATATCTTTATATATATTTATTAAAAATAAAAAGTCTAACGAAGTAAATGTTGTTTTTTTTTCATCGGTCTCACAATTTCATTGTTGTCAGGTCTGTAAGTCCAACATAAGAACTGTTAGACCCCAACGTCACTACTACATCACAAGTAATTAGTCGTCATTCAATATCGGCGACACGGATTTCAAGAGTTTCAAGTTTCAAGAGTTACCGCGTGCGCGAAAGCGTCAAGGGAAAAATATTTTTTTGTGATAAATAATTTCTGTGCTATAATACATGTAATTTAATGATTTTTTTTTTTTAGTCTTTGTTGTCATTTTTATTTAAAAAGCCAAAATATTACTTATAAAGAAATTGTTTAGTTATTAAATATGAATAAATCTGTTTAAAGGTTTTAATTTTAAATGGTTATTATTTTACACTTTTTTACTTAATTGTCATGCAGATTTTTAAAATCAATGTTTTTTGGCAACAATACATTTTTTTTCATTTTTTCCTAACATGGTATAACATTTTTTTTCAGCATCAGCCATAACCACAACTTGGTCAAACAAAAGTTGCTACAGTCTACATTAAAAGCTCAATACTTTGAAGATCATCGGGAATATTTCCAACATAAACCATTATTAATTATTTCACAGATCTTCAAAAAATGTTGAATATTTAAAATGTTACAAAAAGGTGTTTTTAGCATCATTTTTGTTTGACTTGAGAAATCAATGAGATATTTGGCAGGTATTTAGACAACATCAAAAGAGATGTAGAAATTTATTCCCATTGCTTGTATTTTTAGTGCAGGTTGATAAATACGTGTCTTATCATTTTTTTCAAGTCATCCATTAATGTTCAGGTTGCTGTAATTTTTTATGTTTTCAGTGGAATTATAATTTGAAATCTAAAATGTAGCTCTTTATTATGGCACACTATATGATGAAAGATATGGATTTTTAAATTCTTTCTAAATGCTTGATTGTGTACTTAAATCTGATCGGCGTATGCTCATCTTCCTATGTGTGCGTTGTTATTTTCCCCAAAACTTTATAAAATAAATTGTTAAAGTCAATTATACAAAGATTGTGCCTAATTTAATGAAGCTTAGGGAATAAGGCACTAAACGTGAGTAGGAGGCGCGTTTAGGGAACATCTGTACCTGTCTCCGTTACAATTAGAACTAGTATGTATTGTCAATATTGTTGGATTTAGCATCATCGTCTTTTCCATTTGACTGAGTTTTCTTCTTTTCAGACAGGTCTGGTTTTTTGGTCATCCCTAAAGATTATATTAGTTTTTTCAGAAGTGAATGTTTACATTTACATAAAATTCATTCTTGTTTACATATTTG